GGGTACGAGGTTCCAACCCGCGTATGGCAATGAATTTTTTGCATTTTTTCTTAATTCTTTTTAAGTTAGTATACATTTTTAACTCGTTTAATTTTTATCTCATTTAGATTCAATAACTTCAATAAAGATCAAGGATCCCATCACTTTAGTCGCCCCTTGCAAGAAGAAATTTCTTATTCCTATTAAAATTATTTTACTATATTTTAAGTTTTAGCTTCGATGCAAAGCTGAGAAGATATTTTTTTGGGACTATCATTTATTTTCTCTGCTCTAACTTGACCTACTTTTTTCAACGATACGTCAAATGACTAAATTCGTATCTAGTTGAATTTATCAATTAAACAGTTAGTTATTACATGTTCTCCATAAAGACAATTAAAATCATTAATTTCTAATGTTTTCAAAATATTTATTAACGAATGAAGTTTGTTGTAAAACAAAAATAAGAAAAGGATAAAATATGATGGAAGGGAATGTTATAGAAGTATCGCAAAATAAGAACTATTCCTTTTCTCGGGGTGTGTTGTTCGAGGGTCACTTGCTATCTTAAATACGTGAACAATAAATTAGAATGTTCTTACCTTAATCATATAATCCTCATTGATACAATAATTTACTCGTGGAACAATAAAGAAAGCATGAATTAGAATAACTAATTTGTATATAATATCTTCGACTATTTTATTATTAAAAACACATGATACAATAATAGTAAAGGAAAAACAAACAAAACCAAAAAAAATACAAAATTGGTTTAAAAGGTGAAAGAGAGCTGGACGATGATCGCGACGTGTTCGTATGTCGGTTAGATCGAAACAGGACGAAGACTATGTGCGCAGGGATATTCTTAATGTATTCCCCGGATCCCCTTCCACAGATGTGTATGATTATCGTTCAGCTCTTATTGGGTTTTACATTTTTATGTTTCTTATGATACCTTATTGATCAGGGTTTTTGTGAGTGTTGTGAAGGAGCGGATGTTTGTGGCGTGATCGTGGGAGTAGTGTTTTAGAGGATAGACGGTGTTTATTGTGTTTTATATGTTATGTGAAAAGATATTGTGTTGTAAAAGAATTTCTATATGTGTTGAGAAGTGAATAAGAAGAAAACAGAAGACTAAATTGTTTATGTGTGTAGGGCCTATTACAACAAGTTTGATATGATAGATTTCAACTATAAATTTAAATCATTTTACTTAGTAATTTAATAATTTTTTACTCTATTTGTGTGTGCTACTACTAGACAATAATATTACAAATTTTTTTGTAACATGTTGCTATATAAATCATTTCTAAAAAAAATGATTGTTTTTTCTCCTGAATTAACAATTGATTTTTACAAATATAATCAAATTTTATAATACGCTCAATTGAGTAACTCTTTTTAACAACTTTGTTTTGATTGGTTCATTTAGTTAAAGTAAATCATTAAAATTAATTAAGTTCTCAATATTTAAATTGTAGAATCTTTTTAAACAACAAAAGTTACTAGAAAATTATTACTATTACTTCTATTTAAGTTATCTATTACCATAAAAATGCAAAAAAATATTGAGCTTTTCTGATAAATTTACAATAAATAGTAATTATAAAACTTTCTGACTGCATATTGATCTTAACGACACAATTTTTAATTGTCATAAAATTTTCTATTTAATGATGTCAATGTCAAACTTGTCAATTGAGCTAAAACTTATGGTAAAATAAATTATTTTTTTTTATTATAAAAATCTACAACAATCAACTTTAAACGATTAAAAAAATAGGTTAAATAAGTCATTTTCCTTATCTTTAACATATTAATAATCAAAATCAGTATTAATTAAAAACAATTTTTTTTGTTCTTAATTATTTTTTTTATATATAAATACTATTTTTTAATAATATTAAAACTTAAAAGTGATAGAAATAGTCTAATTGCACATTTGAAAACATTGCGAAATGTTGATTTAGAATATTATATTTTTGTTTATGATGAAAGTTCCTTGTAGTCCAGTGTATAAAACTTATAACTTTGATAACTGTTATAACTTTATCACAAATGACCAAATCAGTATAATTATTTTTTATTTAGATGTATGTCTTTACCTATCATTTGGTTTTTTTTTATAAATCTATCACTTTACCTGCCTACAAGAGGGATTTAAAATGATAACTTTTTTTTTTTTTTTAGTTAAAGTTGTAACGTGACAAAATGTGAATTTTATGATATAGATAGATTACTGTTTTGCTTTGCTAATGGGCGCGCGTACGTTATATCCGGCCGTGTAATCAGAAAACTGTACTGTTGCTGTCAAGGTGAACGCTATACACACAATATTCTTTATCAGTTTAATNACAAGGCGAACGCTATACACACAATATTCTTTATCAGTTTAATAATCGTTCCTATATGACACATACACTGGCCACCACTGTCAATACCTGTATAATTTTAATATTGTTCATATTTTTATCTGTTTTATATTTTGTAAGTTGTTAAGCCGATACCCTCTTCCAAACGTAATCGTCGTCGTCGTTATGTCTCGGCCGGTGTGTAAGAAAAATTTTTGCTCTCTTCCCTTTGAACCACCGTCATGGTAAATTTTGCTGTGTGCGTGCAGCCAATAATAGTTTTTTTTCGTGTTCGTCGTGTAAAAATCATGTACTGATTTAACCAGGCGTCGGCCATTTCCGGGGCCGAGATCCCCATCTTAGGATGAGTTCCATCCGGGACTGGGTATCGTATATTGTTTTTTTCTGTTGTAAATTTATTTTGTTATGAACTATATATGGACTTTAGCATTGCTGTTTATAAGGTTATTGGTCAGTGGTGTGTCATGTATATTTAATACATATATATATATATATATTATTCCCGCAGTGCCCAAGTACGGTCCGGCCGGCCAGATTACAGAAATTATCCGCCGCGCCCGGAGTACACGGATTTGTTCCGATGTGGAAGACACTTCATGTGTAATATTTAAAAGTTGTAAAATTTTTTTAAATTTTTTTTGTCTTAATAATTGTTTTTTTTTCTCTTTTGTCCATTTATTTGCAGAGTGGTTTTTGCCTTCGGGTTTTGTCCACTATTAACTTAATTGTAATAATTTAATAAAATCCCCTTAATTTTCTTAATCAACAAAAATCTTTTTATTGCGTGAATATCTTCAATATTCACGTGTATCTTATTTTTTTTTTCCTTTAAATAATTCTCTCTAGTTTTAAGGTAACGGTCTTCGACATACTAAAGTATGTCCACCACTGGTGACATCAAATAAACCTATTTGTTATATTTACAAGGTATCAGCGTATTATAGTCTACAACAACACTTTATATTTTAGTATATGTATATATAATTTTTTTTTCTTAAATCCACTTATGTTCCGGGTATTGTTCTTTTTATGATCAAGACCCTCGCCTAAGTGGTTGGCGACCCGATTTCCTTTTGCAAGGGAGCCATGAGGGTGGCGACTTCACAATCCGTTGCGTGGCCCAAGTCGTCACCTCTCAAATCATTAAAATTAATTCAGTACTAGATATTTCAATTGTAGAATATTTTTGAATAACAAAAATTATTAAAAAATATTTTACTTACAAAAAAAATTTTCGTAGAAAAGTGATTTAAAAGACAATTCTAAACAAAAAATATATCTTATATTTTTTCATTTAAACAAATATTTTTCGAGTTACATTACATTTAATATGAGTACTAAAATTTTTTCATTTTACGGTTACTTTTAATCATGTTATACTTACATTAGACACAATGTTATAAATGCATATGTGTGTATGTGTGAGTTTATTTATTTATTGTATCATTAAAGTGTAGTGTATATTAATATACAAACGATAGAGTAGGTAATTGATTTGACGCTATATTGTTTAAACCCAACTAAACGCTAAATTGTACATTCCCAAACAACAATCATATTATGTCAATTACCACCGGAATTTTTGGTAATCTTTTTCTTTTTCTTTGCCTTAATCCCAACTACTTGGGGTCGGCCACCTTTATCCTAAGCTTCCACTTGACACGATCTCCCACATCTTCTACGCTCACATCAGCTGTCCTCATGTCGCATTCAATAACATCCCTCAATCTCCTTTTTGGTCTTCCTCTACCTCTTCTTCCTTCAACATTCATTTCTATAACTGTTCTTACAGCTTCCCATTCTTCTCTCCTCATAACATGACTAAACAATCTAAGTCTATTTTCTGTCATCTTATCCACGATTGACGCAACACCTATACTTCCTCNCATTGACACTACATCTATACTCACTCTTATATACTCGTTCCTTATTTTATCCTCTCTAGTCTTCCACTCATCCAACTAAGCATTCTCATCTCTATTACACTTATTCTCTGCTCTACTTTCTTATCAACAGCCCAACACTATGAACCATATATCATAGCCTCACAATTTCATACTAAATTTAAAAACTATAATTAGTATTTATTTATATATTATATTTTAAAATCAAAGAACTACTAATCAGGATATAATTAAAGAAATAAGAGTTCATGTTGCTTTTANAGTTGATGTTGCTTTTAGAATATTCCACCAATTTCTCTAAAGGAAACACTATCTACAGATTTGCATCGAAACGTTTCTTATGATAGTGATTTTAATCACTGTTTAGTTCTATAGTTGTCCAATCTATGCCTCGTCCACACTGTGCCTCGACCCCACTGTGCTACCGTTTTTTAATTAGATTATGTCCTATTTTATAAGCTAATTAAACATGTGTGTTGTCGTTATAAAAAAATACGCAAGGAATGATTCTAAAAAGTAATTATTAGCTGATTAATAATGAAATATACATAACTAAAAAGAAGGAAAATTTAACTCCTCAATATTGTGTTTATTTCGAAAGTAATCAAGTATTTTATGATAAATCGATCTTTCTGTATATTTATTGAATATACAACCCTTTACTATAAAATATTTTAGGGTTTTTTCCAACCTGTATATAAGCATTAAGCTAAATTAATATTAAGTAAATTTCAAAAATTACTCATAAAGAATATAATCAACTAAATATATAGGAGTATAATATGTCTGAGTTCCATTATCATAAACTTCATTGTCATCACTATTCATTTCATTTTTTTCATCATTTGAGCTGTGACTGTAATGCTTTTCTATATTACTAGTATTAACACTAGGAAAATAAAGTGGTCTATATATGTCTTCATGATTTCCCAATTGTTCTAAAAACAAAATTTTCAATTATAATACTCATACATAAAAATACATATATTTTTATTGTACATAGCTTGATAATTAACAAAAAATAACAGTAGCGTTATTAACGAGTACTATAACTCCGCCTTAGGTAAACTATTAATATTTTATAACTTTGGTGCTATTACAAGTATTTCCTCATAATTTTCATATAAAATATACTTTTAATTATATAAATTATATATTAATAACAGTGACGTTAAAATGGAGAACTCTTCGTTTAACTATTATTACTAATATTATATAACTTTGGCTCTCTTATGAGTATGGATTAAGCAAAAAATATGAAAAATGGTCCATGGCACTTCGCCTGTCATGATTTAACACAAGTTAGAAGTTTTTAGACCTTACTAAACATTTTTAAAAATTAGGATGAAAAAAAATATTTATACATATGTAAGTGGTCCCTTTAAAACACTTTCTAAACATAGAGTTTTCACTGAAATTTCATAATCCGTATACCAAAAGAATTCTTATCACCTTATATACTCGAGGTAACCAGTAATTTTTCTATTATAATTTATTAGAATCTATGTTTTTGAAAGAGTCATAGTGTTATAATAAAAGTGACAAATTTTTAAAAAAACTTCGCTATTTAATGTCAAATAATTAAGAAAAAAATTATATTGGAGAAATTTTTTCTTCATAAAGTAATAATAAACAGCATTAATTTGATATCGGTTAGAAGTTGTCAGACTATTCGGAAAATTTACAGAAATCAATAAACAATTTCTATACGAGCATAAGTAGCCTCTTTCAAGATCTTCCTGTACTCTTTTTGATTTTTTGAAAAATCATGACAAAAAAAGTTTTATTGACACTAGTATACTCTATTAAAATATAATTTAATTTAGTTTAAAAAAAAACAATTTTAAAATGTAAAGTTTTTCTAAATTTTACAAAATTAGTGGTATTTTTCAAATTTTTAATGCGAATGTGTCCATATGTATTGAAATCCGATTCTTTAGATATATTGATAGTTAAAATTGGTCCAGTAAAAGCTAAGAATTTTTGTGGACAAACATAAAAATAAAAACACATATTGAAACACAAAAAACAAAAATATTCTGGTCTTCTCATCTAACCTAAAAAAATAATGTATATTCCCTTTTACTTTTTAAATTTTTCTCTCAAATCTAACTTAGGAAATAATTTTTTTTTTACATTAAACTTATCATTTAAAGTGGTTTATAAAAAAAAAAATTATTTTAATCTTTACATAACCTCACTTTATATTTCCACTATATGCATTTAAAATACTATAACGGATAATCGTATGAACCCACTGGATAAAAATAAAATCTAGACAGTATTAATTTATAAACACATTGCTAAAATTTTTTCTACACTTCTATTTGATAAAAAGAAAAAATATCCGTTAAGTGTTTTTGAACTCACCAACTGGAAAATTTTCCTTGAAAATGAATTTATATATATGCTTATATGACTTTCCTGTAGGAATATATTTATTTGCAGTTTCAAAACAATGTTGATGTTTTTGCAATTCTGAAACCAACGATGCAGTTTTATTTACTTCCTCGTTAGCTAAATCATAAATGTGATTAATATTATCTTCTGTGACATTTTCATAATTAAACTGGCCAATACTCCAATATAAACAATTTTTTCTCATGTATTCATAGACATTTCTTGAAATTGACTGCGCTTCACTGCTTGTAAATAAATCGTTATGATCTTTAAATGATAAAATAAGTTTGTAGGTCTTATTAAAAATACATGAGATGTAAATTGTAAATTCTTCTTCAAATAAATTCAAACCCATTAAGGATTTCATAATTTCAACAATATGTTGACCCATTTCAATAATTTTATTTTTTATTACTAATTTTAATTCATTATTTTTAAACTTGGGAAGTAAAACAATTTTCCTTACTAATATAAGATAAATACGAATGATTATCATAAATGGACGAACAGTTGCTGTATTTAATAATTTTTTAAATACTTTTACATTTTGTATGTTAAAATCAAACTTGATGAAACGAAACACATCCAATAATGTTATTTGGTAATTATTAGAACTGTTTAATAACAACGGTGCAAATCGAATCAAGTCTAAAACATCAACTAATTGTTTGTCACTGTTATATCTAGCATATTTTTTTGCTTGAGAACCTGATGATAATTCTAGCTCGCATAAATTAGATCGAGTTTCCATTAAATTATAAAATAAGACATTTTTAGGATTAAAATTATTATATGATTGCCTACGAAAAGACAACGCTAAATGTTTTACAATGTCATTGTAACTTTTTAACATTTCATCGTAGTTCATGTCATACCATATTAAATATTCTTTCATAACAATAAATATGTAGTTTTTTAGTTGTTCCAAATCATTAAGTAAGTTATTAGGATTGTAACTATCCGGTATCTTAAAATAGGTGTATGATATGAAATTATTTTTAAACAATACAACTGAACATTGGCTACTAATAAAGTATTCCAATCGTTCAATAATTGATCGATGAATTATTTTATAGCCTTCAAGTAAATTCTGAGAGCTTTCAGATCTACTGAACTCGCCATTTTTATTTTTAGCTATCATGTTTAAGGATCGTGAAACGTTATTTAAGTATAAATTTACTGACATTAAATCTGCTGCTGTATACTGCTCGTCCACATGCCGCAGCGCATCTAACATGATCATTATTATTTCATCGTGAGATTTGATTGCTAATCCATAATTTCTTAGCTCAAGTTCAGTAATTGTATTTTTGAAGTTAAATAAATATTGCTCACCATACTTGAAATAATTAAACATATATTTCGAAAAGTTACAGTGCAAACCTAACAAATCAATTGCTACAATAAAATTTGTATATTTTAAAAAAATTATGTAAAGTCTTAATGCAATCATTTTGAAATTCAATACTACACTGGCATGTTAAATATATATTTTATAACTGAATAGCTATTTTTGTTATATATTTATATTAGATTAAATATATGGAGTAAACTACAGTTGAGTCTAATAATTATTTATACAAAGTAAATAGAATGTTTTCAATTTTTATTTGCCAATATTTTTAAAACTAAAAGAAGTAAGGGGTCAGATTTTATAAACCGATATCCCTACTCTTTTAAAATCTAACAAAATTATTAAAATATTAAATAAAAACTTTGTATTATAAAATACAGTAATTGAGGAGATAGCAACAATCTCCATCCGTTAAATGGGGCATAGAACATAGAAAAATACTCAAGTAATATCAAAAAATATTTTGAAATTATACAGCCGAGAATATTTTTATGTCGGTTTATCAAAAAATTTATTAGAACAATAAAACATTAATCAAGCAAACTAATATTTTGTTCCATAAACATAAATATGATTAATTTCACAATAATAAACGGTAGCACCATAAGGCCAAGTCTTAGTGTAGACGAGGCATAGTTGAAACAAGTATTGATGTTATCTGACATTAATTAAAATTACTATTCTAAACAACACATCAATGCAAATCATGTTCATGATATTCAATGATATTCATTACAATTTTGGCAAGTGTAATATACAGGGTGATTTTTTTATCATAACCCACTCAATTACTTGCAGAATAATAATAATTTAAACATTTTTTTTTATTATTATCTTTAGTTACACATTATTCTTGAATTTTTAACTATGTAATACTTTTTATGTTTATCCCTAGTAGTATCTAAATAGCGGGTTCTGGGGATCAAAGGATGCCGCCATGGTAATTAGTGTCATACGTCATCAAAAAGTAATAAATTACGAGTGTTAATGGGTAATTAAATGGTTAATTAAGGTCAATCGTAGTTGTTAAAGTTGTAAATCAAGTGTGTTATTGTTAAAATTGCGATAATAATGTGGGTTGGCGGAGAGTAGGTGGTCAGCTGACTCGGCGTTACGTCGTTGTCGGTGTGACGTATGCAGCAACGCGTGCCCCTCAATCAGGAGCATCACAGGTGTTACGTAATATAATCGCCCTTAAGGTCATCACGTCACATACAATAATGTTAAAGACTCTGCCCCTGCCTACACCCTCTCACCACGGAATTGTACGTCAAACGGTCGCGCGTTATATTGTGTCATCGCAACCGCCGCCGCCGCCGTCGTCGTCGTCGTCGACGGGGTATAAGCCATAGTCGTGTAATCCATAAAATACACCTCATTCGTCATCGAGATTCCAATGTCTAACAGATGTTTGGAAAGTTTGGTGTCGTGCAGCAGCAACATTGTCTGTTGACTACTAATCGGTTCTCAGTATTTGTTAATCTATTGTGCGTGTAAGATGGATTATTTAAGTAATATATCGAATAAATTGATTTGTCTTGTTGAAAACGAACCGACAGATAGAGTTTTTAAACCATTCAGTAAATTATTGAAAAATTATCGAGATTTACAATATTTTGCGGAACGTCTAGGAGATAAAGTCAACGGTACCGGTGGAGACTTTTTACACTACAAGGGTTGTGAATTATTGAATGTGGGAAAAAATTCGGACAATCCTGAATGTGCATGCTCAGTTGTGAAGCGAATATATTACGAACTTTTGGATTCAATTGAAACAATTGAAAAAACGGTGAATGCGAATCGCAGCGATAGTAACGCCTATTGGACCTTGAGACTTTAATCACAATGGCTACACCAAGGTGTAAATTCAATAAAATCAACGACTTGATCGATTCATCAATATATAGCATTTCACAAATGTCTCGTGTATACATTGGTCTGGATCCTGACGATTCATTTTGGCCAAAAATATCTCGAAAACTATTTTCAATTATCCACACATGAAAGTATGTTAAAAAATATTTGATTTTTTTATCTTAACTCTAATACTTATAAAAATTTCAGCACTTGTATTACTTTTCCGATCTGGTAGAATTGGCTACAAATAGATCATTTTTAGGTATAGATGCTTTCCCGAAAATTGACAAGAAAGACCTCCTATGTGTGAATTTTTCAGTCAAATTCAAGGATAATCGAAATAAAATAACATAAAAAACAACAAGTTAGCAAAATAACTATGTTTTTATTAATAAAAATGATATATTTATACATTTTTTTGTTTCTATACTATACTGTAAATTATACAATAATAAAAATATATTTGTATATACATTAGAGTTTTCGTACTTCACCCGTAAATGCGTTGTATTCCATTTGACAATCGTGAATAATTACACAATACAATGATGTTTTATCGGGAAACTGTTTAGAGCATTCGAAATCCAAACGTAGATCAACCGTTGAAGTCTTGACGGTATCGTTTTGTTTAGAACAATCGATCACAACTATGGGTCCACGTTTTTTGTAATTTATATAATCTAGTAGAGGGTACGGATCTTTACGACCGTAGTACATTGTTTGGAATTGAGTGTACGAGTTGTAGAAGGTTGTATACTTGTTGTTGTCGAAATCGGCGTTTTGGTTCTCGTATGGNATAAAACGTTGTATACTTGTTGTTGTCGAGATCGGCGTTTTGGTTCTCGTATGGGTATTCGTCCGCATTCAGATACGCTTTGACGTTTCTCAATGAACAGTGATCGAAATCTCCAAGAACGTGTTCGTTCTCATTACCCATGGCAATAAGTAGATATCTGGGTTTTTCCACATTCGAATAGGTGCGCACCGACCACGTGTGATGAGTTGTCTGCGGTACCAATGGGTAAACGGCAACATCCCAGTGTTGAAATTCTAACGGGAGCCATTTCTTGCTGCCCAGAATACGCATAAGACCCAGTTCGGTTTTCACGCTGGGTTCAAAGTACTTTACCACCCATTCGATTTTCGATATTTTCACATTGATTTGTTTTATCAATGTTGCAACTTGCGCTTTATCGTCTGTTGTTGTTGTCTGTGGAACAAATGTTACAACAGTGCTATCGGTACTCGATCTATTCAACACGAGTGTCTGAGTACAGTTTATCAGTGTTCGTCGGTATCGTTCGAAAAATCCCATGCACATAGACAATGGACATTGCGCCACAAATTCAGTCCCATCGATGAAATCGTTGTTGTGCAAGATTTGCGCATATTTCCATCCGGCAGGTTGCAATCGTCGAATGTCGTTGGGTGTGAGCGAACAATAACCCTTGATGGTTGTAGCCACTCCGACATATTTTATCTTGTCCACTTCTTTACCATTTACCTCAAATCTGATTTCGTCGAATAAGTGCATGAGAAAATTTTGCCCCATAACCATTTCACCGACTGTTCCATTGGTGGTTTTTCCAGTTTTCCTTCGATTTGCAAATAACTTTCGCACGGTACGGTGAATTTCTCCTTGTTACGTACCTCGATGCGGATTTCATCGTTGTGTTCGTACGAGTTGTTGTAGCTCTGATGTTCTAGATAGTATTCACGTTTTACGCTGTCGTCTTGTTGACATTTTTCCAACACGTGTAAGTACTCGGCCATGATTGACTCGACAACCTAATGATTTTAAAAATTCAATATTTTCCTTTGTGAGTTGTTGCTGCTGCGATAGCGTCACACGATTGTTCCGTTGCTCCGTCGTAGAGTATATGCCATCACCCAAATGATGGTGCACTACACTCTTTGTTGAAACTCAGAGGCATTTAAAGAGTGTCAACACGTTTTTCCAATATAAAGACACTGTCATCGACTGAATAAAGTTCTCGAGCCAGTGCTTCCAAACGATAAATTGTAGCTGAACTGTTGTTGTTGTTGTTGTTATTGTTACTGTTTATTAGCTGACAGCTATTGTCGGATGTTTGAAGGAGCAGTAATAGTTGCACAACTGTGACTAGTATGCACAAAAATAATCCAATATGTGAGGAATCAATTTGTTTTATACGGTCCCATAACGTCATCGTACTTTCATCCATCTTGTTTGATGTGTAGACGTACTGTTAATTTTTCACCTCTTAAGTTGACACGTTGGCCATCTTGATCGAGCAATGTGATTCGAATCGTATTCAATACGTTTGTGTTTAATGGATAGTAAACGACTTATCTGGGACATTCGATAATACAGTAACCCGGTGGTACGTTTGGAAAGAATTCATGCAATGTATGCGATTGACGTCCTTCGTGGTACGAGCCAACAATTATATTGCAGTCAACTCGTATGCATGTCACCTTTGTAATAGATAACGGAAAATCCGACGTGTGTTCCATTTTCGGTGCCAATACACGAGGTCGGAATCCCAGCATTCCACCGATTGATTGCGGCTGTGTAAAATCTATGGCGTGATCGCATTTGATTATACTTCGCATAGTGTTGCGATCGGCTGTAAAAGAAATAACGTTTCGATCACCCAACTCTTTGTCACCGATTTCACTGCTGTTTTCCTTGAGCAAACCAACCGTTGGCAACAATGGATCATCAAAATCTAATTGTTTTTGCATACTGTACTTGTATTCTTCTCCATTGTACTTGTCGGTAATTCGTTTCTGTAAATCGTCAAATTCGTACGATCCCGTCGGTAGTGTTATCACCATAATTGGTTTGTCAACAGTGCCGAAAATAAATTTGTTACAATCCTCATCAATATTCGGTATCGTGTTCCACGTATGCAAGCTCAATAGTCCAATTTTACATTTGTCACCGACATCGATGGGTGGATTGAATGTGCATTGCAATTCAGATCCCACGCCGATTAACGTCACCGTTGTTGCCATGTTGTTGTTGTTGTTCAATTAAAAATTCCAAACACAAGTGACCACAATTTACCTCGTTGAAGTTTTGATATCTACTATAATTGTGCACGATTGCGCATCCTTTAAAGTATCGTTGCAGCTCCAACGGTGGTCGTAAATTACCAAAACTGTCAAAATACGTAATGCGTTTACCACGTTTAATATATGCTACCCAATGAGTGCCAGGGTTAGTGGATAGGTCCAAGTTCACTACAGCCATTTCGATTGTT